ACGTGGGGCAGCCCCATAGAGCTCCTGGAGCCCAACACACGTGGCTCCGAGTCCTCCTTGGATGGGGTCTTCAGGGTTGAGCCTTCATCCTGCTCCTCATCCATAGATCCAGCAGCTCCGGGGGCTTGGGTCCCATCCGGGACCAGGATGTGGGTCTCCTGCCTGGAGAAGAGGGCAATGGTGGGGTCATCTTGCCCCCAAAGACAAGGATAAAGTGGGATGTAGGACATGGGGGTGTCTCCATCACCTGAGGAGCTCCATGGGACCAGAGTCCTTCAGGTGGTGGAGGTCCCACAAGTGCTGCTTCATGGAGCTGGTGACACCCGGGCCCAGGCGCCAGATGAAGATGCAGCTGAAGGGTGGGAATGGGACAATTCATGGCCGGGTTATGGATACAGGGATGGGGTCCGGGGGGGATCCAAGTTCATCCCATCCAAGCCCTCCAGCACTGCTTCCACTATGGATATGGGGCTGGGATCCAGGTGGGATCCAGGGGTGGGTGCCGGGTGGGATCCAGGTTCATCCCATCCAAGCCCTCCAGCACTGCTTCCACTATGGATATGGGGCTGGGATCCAGGTTCATCCCATCCAAGCCCTCCAGCACTGCTTCCACTATGGATATGGGGCTGGGATCCAGGATTATCTCATCCCAGCCCTCCAGCTTCCATTATGGATATGGGGCAGAATCCAAGTGGGATCTGGGATGGAAGGTCCTCTCCTCCTACCTGTCTCCAGAGACCGTGATGAGGTGCCGACAGTCGTAGGAGAACCGCATCCCTGTGACGATCTCTATTCCCAAAAGAAGGAATTGCATGTTGGGATCAAGCCCTGTGCTCTTAGAGGAGGTGGAAGGGATGGAGGTGGCTTTGGGAGGGGGCTTCCCATGCCAAAGCAGGCTGTTCCCAGCAGCATTCCCATGGGCACATCCCAGCGTATCCATAAGGAATCAAACCTGAATGGCCCAAGAGCTTGGCCACACACTCGCCAGACTGGAAGTCAATGAGGGAGATGCTCTTGTCAGAGGAGCTGGTGGCCAAGAAGGTTCCTGAAGGATCCAGGTGGACCTGAGGAGAGGAGAAGTGGGGTGAGAGCTTCAACCAGCACCCGCATCATGGGAGCATGGAATGCTCTGGGTTGGGAAGGAGCTGGAGATCATCCAGGTACAATGGGGACACCTTCCATAGGGTTGCTCCAACCTGGCCTTGATGGTGATGGAGCAGCCAAACCTTCTCCATTCAACCCATCCCAGTGTCCCACCACCCTCATCGACCATGGGCAATGTCTATGTGCAGGTCTTCATTGAGATCCTGACCATGGGCAATGTCTATGTGCAGGTCTCCATCGAGATGTTGACCATGGGCATTGTCTATGTGCAGGTCTCCATTGACATGTTGAGATGTTGACCATGGGCAATGTCTATGTGCATGTCTCCAGTTGGACATCGAGATGTTGACCAAGTTGTGGTGTTATGGACACCCCACCAGTGCTGGATGGTGGAAACCACCTTCTTACCTTCAACAAGGAGCCATCCTCCCCCTGGGAGCCCTTGTAGCAGCGCTTCAGCTTCCCACTGGCCGTGCTGTAGACCCTGGGGAGGAGCAGGAGGTGGTGAGGCTGCTGAGGAACCCAAGGGGGCCACCACTGAGGAGGTGACCCGGCTCCTTCACCTGACGTTCCTGTCCTGACATGCAACAGCCACGTCCTTCTGCATCATGTCCATGTCCATGTCGTACAAGGTGGTCTTCTCAGCCACGTGGTGCGTCCTGGTGAAGCTGAAGCCATCTGGGAGCTGCAGGAGATGGGAAGAACCACGTTTCCATAGGACTGGGGTGGGGGGATGGAGCCTGCAGATCCCATGGGAATGCCCTTATCCCACCTTTTGAGCCTGGCGGAAGTAGATGCTCTTATCGGCTCCGCAGCTGATGAGTTGGATGTCCCCGTGGCCTGGGCATGGAGAAGACAAGCGGAGGTGAGAAGGGGTTCACCACTGAGGGGATCCCTGCACTGAATCCCTGGGAAGAGGATTCCTTCAGCATCAAGATGCAATCCAAAGGTGGGATCCGGATCCCCTCCGATGGATGGCTTCATCCGGAGCCTCTTCCAAAGCACACATGGAAGTTTGGGGATGGGAACGCCGGTTTGGAAGGAAGACCAAAGGCCCATGGTGGGCATTTGGGTGGGAGCCAAGCACCTACCAGCAAACTTGATGGAGGTTATGGCCGAGGAGTGGTCATCCAGGGTCTGCTCCAGCTTGTAGCCCTTGGCCACGTTCAAGACATGGATCAGGCGGTCCCTGCTTCCGGAAGCCAACAGAGCTGCTCCTGGAGGCATTCCCAAAACAGGGAATGGTGAAGAAAGGATGTGTTTGATGTTAACTGGAGGTCCTGCCTGGAGATGGTCACCTCCATCTCTGACCTTCAGGCTGGTCTCCAGCTCCTGGGGCATCCCAAAGGAGAGGGAATTCCCACAAAGCTGCTTTTGAGGGTTTCTCTGCTCCTTTGGGGAAGGAGCAGCTTTTCCAGCTGGAAGAGCAGCACCCAAGGCTTCTCCAGGGCTGGATTTGGGTGGGATGAAGCTTTACCCGTCTCTGGCTTTGAGTAGTCCAAGCAAAGCACTTCGGAATCATGAGCTTCCACCTTGGCCACCTCCTGCCTGGACCGCAGCTCATGGATCCTGTGGGGAAGGCACAGCTCAGCCTTCCCAAGCCATGGCAACCAAGCGGGAATCCCATTGGGATACAGCTCGGAGCTGCTCCAAGCCCTGGTGGGACCATGGAGCCACTTGCCTGAGGGTCCCTGTTCTATCTCCTGAGGCCAGGTGCTGTCCATCGGGACTGACCTGCATCACCCTCACCCCGGACCTGGCATCGAGGTGAGGCCCCTTCTCGCTCCAATCGGGAATGCCGGAGCAGTCCTGGAGGTGCTGGATGGTGCTGTCCACATAGATGATGCTCAGCAGGGTCTTGGGGCAGGAGGAGAAGGGGACGGTGAGGATCTATGGGGAGCCCATCCCACTGCTTCCAACATCCCGCTTTTGGGAAGCAGCGGGATTTGAGGAGCTTAATGGTAACCAGAGGGAAATAGTGATGGAGGGAGAAGGAAAAGCCACTTTGACCCACTCGAATGACCCAAAGCCCCTCAAAATCCTGTTCCTCTCCTGCTCAGCACCACCAACGGAGCCAAAGCATGAAGAACCTGCTGGAAACCATCCAACCCCTCCAGTGGCCTGCAATGGAAGAGCCCTGGAGGTGGGACATGGGCACACGGAGCCCATCCTACCGAGCTGGAGGCATCGCCCTCTCCGGGCTGCGCGGAGCCGCTTCCCAAGCTCCAGACACGGATGGTGTTGTCTGAGGAGCACGTCAGGAAGGAACCGGGAGCCAGGTGGGGTCTTTGCTCCTCACATTCAGGATACATCTGCACATAGAAGGAGGAAACAGTGGGAAAGGGGAGGGAAAAGAGGTTGGGAAGGACCCAAGTCACCTCCACGGGAGCCTCACCTCGATGCTCCAGACGAAGGAGCTATGGAAAAGCTCCGACCAGAGCTTGGTGACGTGTTGCAGGTCCCTCACATCCCACACGTAGATGCTGTGGTCTCTGTAGACACAGGCCAAGCAGTGGTTGTGGCTGTCGTAGGCCATGGCGATGGTGTCGGGGTAGGTCAGGTCTGGTGGCCTTCAAGGAGAAGGAAGCAAATGGGCTTCAGTGGGTTTGGACCCTCCAGAGCATCACCCCAGGAGCAGGTTGGATTCGGCATCTCCGTCCCCATGTTCAGCACCCAAACAGGGTGGGGATGGAGCTCCAGGACCTCTCCGTCACCTTCCACGTGCTGGAGAAGGGGAAGGGGCTGGAGGAGAAGTCCTGTGAGGAACTATGAGGAGACCTTCCAGGGGGGACCTGAAAGGATGGAACCAGGAGGTGGCTGGTCACAAGGGATGGGACAAGAGGAAATGGCCTCAAGCTGCACCAAGGGAGGGTTTAGGTGGGATATTGGGAACAATTCCTGCCCCAGAGGTGTTGGAACAGGCTGGAATGATGGGATCACGTCCCTGGAAGTGGTCCCAACCCATGAAGACAAGGTTCTCAGTGCCATGGTTCAGTGGTGGCTTTGGCAGTGCTGGGGTGAAGGTTGGACTGGGTGGGCTTAAAGGTCTTTTCCAACCTGCTCGATTCCATGACTTTATTATTCCATGATTCCATGACTCTGTCATTCCATGATTCCATGGGAAGGAGGCTCAGCTTCCTGTGGTCCCTCAATGTTCCCCCCCAAAGTAGCACCTCAGCGTCCCCCCATCCATACGTACCTCCACGGGGTGTCCTGACTGACATCCACTCCCAAGGGATGAGGCTTGGGAAGGTCCTGCAGATACCCCATGTCCCGAGCCCGGAGAACCCTCACGGTGCCGTTGCTGCCACCGCAGAACAGCAGCTCCTCAGCCAGGCACAGGCAGGTCCCCATTGACACCTACAACCAGGGATGGTGACACCCGGCCCGTGGCCTTCACCCCAGGAGGTTCTCGGGGGGGTTCCTCACCTGCAGGTGGAGCTGGGTCTGCAGCACCCTCCTGCTGCTGAAGCTGCAGAGCAGCCCCGAGGAGGAGATGCAGAAGGTGCTGCCCAAGGTGGGGCCGTGGCCACAGGCGACGCCGCAGAAGGTGTTGTCATGGAGGTCCCCCAGGACCCCCGAGCGTCCCACCAGCGGCACCGTCGTGTTGCCCTGCAATGGGTGGCACCAGTGTCCCCGGAGCAGCCAGGTGATGGGATCATGGAATGGGTTGGGAAGGAGCTGGAGGGCTCCAATGGGTTGCTCCAAGCCATTGGATCAACCAAACCTTCTCCATTCAAGCCATCCCAGTGTCATGGGGAAGAGCTTCCTCCCCATATCCCATCCACCTCTTCCATCATCTCCTCACCCCATCCCTCCATCCCGTGTCCAAAGCCCCCTCCAGGTCTCCTGGAGCCCCTTTAGATTGGATTAGACCAGACCCACTCTTGATCCCTGGGGAACACCAGCTCCAGGCTTCCAACTGGATGCT